AAATTTATTTTACTTTAGTCAAATGTTTCACAACCAACACTTCAGAAATGCATACAAAGAATGAAGCATGATGAATGATCCAATACTGTATACTCGGTCACTTGTAGGGCTGCAGAATTAGAACTCACTGTCAAGGAAAGTTTTTCTAACCTTAAATGATGGCACTGCAATTTACTTAGGTTACATATCAAATAATATCTGCTATCAGCTGGCTGATTTTAGCATGCTCAATCTATTAATGTGTCAAATGATACTGCTGTTAATTTATAACTATATAGAATATAAAACTACATTTTGTTTTCATTTAGCAAACAGTCATTCTGAGACATGCCTTTTCAATACTATGTTTGAAAGACAAGAAACACATTGATAATATTTTTTTCTCTTGATCAACAAAGAATTAGTGCTGTAGCTCTGATGTCTTTACCACCATTACTGAGACCTACATTTAAAAAACTTGCCCAATGATACCCATACTTTGTCATCTTGAAATATAACTCTGCCTCAACATCTTTATTCCACACCTTCATTACCCATAAGAATAATGTTATTCTTCCTAATAAATATCATGGCTTTTTAACAAAAAGACAGACTATGCGCTTTTAAGATCTTGCATGTTATCCTTTAATAACCAAGATCCAGCCACTGAGTTTTCCAGAGCAAAAAGTTATGCTACAAAGAGCAAGGCACTGTAAGTTTTACATAGAGTGAATTTCCATTACTGACAAGTATTGGATAATTTTTACAAGCTGTACTTTTTTATTACTTTCCCCAGACACTACCAGATGGCAGAAATTTACTGCCCAAATATCAGCAGAAATAAATTCGGGGACTAAAAACCAAAACAAAACAACAAAACCCAGTCAAACATAATGATCCTTCTGCAACAAACAGGGAAATTGAAATCTCTGTGATTCCGTGATTTGCTTGAAGAGTGTTTGCCTTCACTTTACCTCTCCTCTACCTTCAGCTACAGACTGCTTTTTAGAAATCTTCACCAGGACTAGACTGTGGTGTGCAAGAACAGAGACGGAGCTGCAGTGCATGAGATCATTGTGCACTGATTACAACATCTACTAGAGCCATGTGGTGGATCCTCTGTAATCAACAGAAAGCCTAAGTTGGTGCCTTCCCCACTAAATTAAAAGAAAACCAAAATGTGTGTCTGTAGTGTACACTGAAATAGTGAGACTAGGGATGGGAGAAAAGTGAGAGCAATACACCATTTAGAATAAAATGAGCCTTATGCGACATAAATACTGACCAATTAATAGACTGTTAAAAGAAAATAATATCTGCCCAAATAAAAAGAGCTTAACAAAGTCTGCTCATGAAAACCACAGAATAATAATTAATAAGCAGTAACTTATACCACTCCTGCCTGTGATTTCTGACCATTTAATTTATCAGATAACCTTAAGAATTCTCTTGTATTTAACTTACGGTTTTGATATTCAAAATATAGACTTTGTGTATCTATGTTCAAATTCCCTAATTGCTGATTTGTCTTATGTGAAAAGAGGTGTGCACTGAGTGATTAATAGGCTGTTTTATAGCTGGTCTGTGTTCACTGAACCTGTCGGAGGCACCTGCACTTCCCTCTTTCCAGCTGTTCCCACTGCAACCTTGACTTACATAAGCAGCTAAAGATGCAATAGAGAGGCAATATTTTTCACGTACTCTACAGATACGACCTCCAGTGTCATTTACATTTTATAAAACAATCTAATTTTTAGAAATTCCATTTTGTTATTTAAAATAAAAGTATAATTAAAAATAAAATTTCTCTTTAAACTAAGTAGTTTACTTTTTAAAAGACTTGTAAGAAGAAACACTGAACGGCCTGATTTATTGGTCTAGTTTCTAACACTATTAATGAAGCTATAAAGCTGCAAGGTAGCAGTGACAATATTTGATGTACTAACATGTTCATCCAACACTGACTCTGTTTTTCTAAGGAGAGAGTTGCCCTGTGAACATCTAGATGGGCTGCAGTGCTAGAAATCACAACTGGATGGATTTATGGTACTGCACTACTACCATCTACACAATGTTTTATCTAAATAAAGGGGTTTATTGTCCATTGTTCCTTCCAGCAATGTTTATATTTCTGCAAATCAAGTGCTAACTTTAACACGTTGGAACAATAGTGCTTTAAGCACATTTAAAATAGGTTAAAATGATGACAAAGTCTAAGACAAAATAAAATCAAGTTCCAAAGCAGGTATCATTATCTTTCACTAGTTTCTTCTACCATGACAATTAGGAAGAAAAACCAGGAGGACTTTTGCATTAAGATATATTGCAGTAATTAGGAAGAATTTTACCAGATAATGCAACATGTTAAATGAAATAATTCTAGTAACATACTAGCCTGCTAAATGACAACAGGAACTCAAGAACATTTATATTGCTTTCTTCCACTAATCAATAGCATTATCTTTAGTATCCTCATATCTAATTATTGCTTTTCACAATCAATATCTACTTCATTAGATAGCATGGAAACAAAGAATAGATCAGAGTTCAAAGATTTCAAAAAACCTGTATGATCTCAAAAAATTTATCTAGAAATAGCTGAGTTAAAATTAGACATGCATTATTACCCTCATTACTGTAATATTAATATTCATTCAGTATATTTTGCATTACAACTGCAAAATTTACAGAAGTATTTTTCGGATTAATTATTTCTTCATCAGCTAAGGTTGACAGTTGCAATGAAGAAAAATATAGTGTATCTATGGAAATCTATAGAAATGGATGCTATGTTTCCTGTTGTTCTCTGACCAGGCAAACATAGTGAAATTTATTCTAAACTTGACTGATATGAAGGAGGAATACACTTTGCATTTTCTTAAGTGAGGTTTAAGCCTACCCATTGAGCATAGAAACAAGATTGACTGTTAGTCCTCGTTCCAAGGTGTTTGGTTTAACAGAAGCCTCTCGACAGGCTCAATCCTATCTCTCCGTATTACTAACCTTCCAGCATTTCAGTGCTGTACCAGCCAGATCTCTGTCACCAGATCAATGTCACTGGATCAACAGCAAAAAATGTAGATCTTCCCTTGGTTTATTGTGTTCATGCTAGTGAACAGCAGAGCTCTCAGAACTACAAAATCATGGAAATTAGGGCTGGAGTACAGCCCTCTAATTCAGCTTCTCTTTCTCCTCCTCAGTTCAAGTAAGGGTCAATGAAATCGTGGTAAATACTCACCTAGTCTGTGACTCAGGTACTGCAATATGAAAGGCAATATAATATTACCCTACTGGCAGTCTGGTAAAAATTACATTTGAAGAGCTGGATTCAAGCAGAGTAGAGATTCTTTGATTTACATCATCTGAGTATCCTACCTCTGTGTTACTTTTATCTTAAATTCACTGGTTGGGTACTGTTCAGGGCTTGATTCATAGTATTTTAGCCACAAAGCTGACACACAGAAAAAAATTGAAAATTGACTGATTAAATAGCTTCAGTTCCTCCGCTGCTTTGCATCAGTACAGAACGTGTCTTCTCACTGCTGACATTATAATGTACCAGAAAACTAGTCTACACCCTCCCAAAACCAAAGGTGTGGGCTTGCTCTGAATTAAAGTACTGCCAAAAAGCAGAAGTGAACATTAAAAAGTGCATAAATTACATAATGCTCATATAGTTGGTAATGTAATACACTCCCCCCCCCCCCCC